TGGCACTTATACCGGACGGGGTATGGGAACGGCCCGTTTTACTCTCATACAGGACGGTGTATTAAGAGATGATATTTTTGGCACTCATACCGAATGGGGTATGGGGACGGCCCGTTTCACCCTCATACTGGACGAGGTATTGAGGGATGGTACTTTCGGCGCTCATACCAGATGAGGTATGGGAACGGCTGGTTAGTTGACAATGTTGAATAATAGTTCATGAGTAGTGGGGACATCTCTATGGACCCCCATGGATACTAATAAGCAAATAAAAAGAGAAAGTTGTTGTTCTACCTAATTGAATATGAGATTATGATATTGGTTGTGTTATTGCCTCTATAGGTCAATTTTGAAAAATCTCGCTACGGTTGGCCGAAAAAAGTCAAAAAATAAAAACTCATCGGTGGCGGAATTTTTCAGTGCGGCGGCTCCACCGGCTCACCTTTGCGATTGGGTATTTTTCTTCGGTCAACCTGTAGAAAACAGAATGGTGATTAGAATGGTAGAAAAATTGTACGAAACGGGAATTGGGAAGGGGCTCATTGGAGACGACTTTTGATTTTTCTCGCGGCGGCACTGCCGGGTTTTACCTGTAGTTTTTAGCTCATCCATCGGTCTTTTTGCTCCAATTTGGTCATGTGAGTGTTCAAAATCAAATTTCAAACGAATGAGAAATTTTTTTCTTTTTTGGCGGTCGGAGGTGGCTCCGACGCGGCGACGGGCAGCAATCGGCTCCATTCTCTAGCGACTGGTTCTTCTTTTTTAGTAGGGGGCTGATGGCTAGGGTTAGGATTCTGTGTGAAATAAGGTATTTATACCCGTGTCCCTTTAATCTGGGCTGTTCATTGCATTTAATCTCGACATCCGATCGCGTTTAAAGAAAAAATAAATGTAGACCGTTCATCGCGATTTAATTTGGACCGTACGATAACATTTAAAGAGAGAATGAATCTGGACCGTTCTTCACGTTTAATCGCGACCGTCCGATCGTGCCTGAGGAGAAAACGGATCCGAACTGTCCACACGCGTGAGAACAAATCTTGTTGTTTTGATCGCGAGCACGCAGATTGCCAGCATGGCCTCTCGTGTGGCACCGAGTCAGTGTGCCTTGCCACATGCGCGCTCCGGTTTGTCAGGACTGCTGACTCAAATTGTATTTTGACCTACAGTTTCTTATTTTTCTTTCAAAAACATCCCCCAAACCCAAATTTTCACCCATTTTTCTTAAAATTATTTTTAATTTCATCATTTATTTATTTTTTTTCTAATTTTATATTAAATAAAAATTTATAAATTTATAAATTATATTTTTATATTTATTTTTAAAATTAATTTTGGGCCAAATCTTGAGTCGGGTATTACAATTGATACCACTAAAATGAACTTAGAATCATGAAAGATGATGGTCTTCAACATAGGGATTTTAATTGCCTGAAAATTCCTTTTAATTTGGTGTAATATATTTTAAGGTACTTATCATTTTTGTTTTTAGTTAATGAATGCGATAAATGTCAACTTGTGAAAATCGTTCTTTAAAATCATTTTGTTCGAAATTTGTTTCGTAAAAACTTTGGATTTTTATTTTTAACTCAAATATACAGAATATTATTATTATTATTATTATTTATCAATAAAGAATAAGTTTTGGTACATAAAATACATGCATGTGGACATTTTTTGGCTCCATAACATAAGCCCATCCAAAAGCAAAATTAATTTTAATTAAGCTTTTAATAATTTGGACCAGAAACCCTTAAATTAAAGTTGGTAATCATTATTACATGTTAATATTTTCCTTATTAAATCAAACATCGCCGAAAGTTGGTAAAATTAAACCCAAAATCTCTTCTAATTCATTCTTGTACGAGAAAAAGAGAAAGGCTGCCTTCATATGAGAAGAACAATGTGAACTTTGTTAATGCACGTTTAAAATAATAATTATAATAATAATAATAATTAGGATGATATCACATGGTTTGTGTAATCTATTAATTAATTTAATTAATTATGATCAAAACAACTAACCACCTTTCTTCCTCTTTCTCTTTAAAATAAATCTAAAAAAATAAAATGTATGAAATTAAAGGTCCAACTTGTCCTCACGTGTATGATTGATAGCACTCGTACACCATAATTTCTTGTCCAGCTTTAGCATAATCAGGTACGTACGTATGCTTAATTTTGATTAAGTTAATTAGTGGCAAATTATACTCGAGGCAGATATCATTACATTATGGAGGATCATGATTTACTAATCTTACATTTAATCACTCAATTGAGATTTTGAAATGTGAATAAATAAATAATTTGATGTTTTAAAATTTAAAAATAGTAGATCAAATCAAATTGTAAAATAAAGTAACAAAATAAATTGTAATATAAGGTAATAATAATTAAATATTAGTGACTATGTTATTATTTTTAAAATTAATAAAACTTAATTACCCCCATATATATAGACACTAGAGATATTATGCAGTGAATCGAAATAATGATGTCATGTAAACATTTAACCAGCAATTCTGCGAAGCAACCGACAACTGCTTTCAAACTTTTGTTTTATTTTAATTGATTGATGTTTTGTTGGTTTCTACCTACTGTTAATATACGCTTAAAGCAAAATCCTCTTTCAAAGCAACCTTCAATTGCTTCTTATTTTAATTTAACATCTCTAACACACTTACTATATAATACAAATATATATATATATATATATACTTACAAATGGATATACAAAGTAGGATATAACAATAACAAAAAACCTCCTCATATGATGAAAATGATCCAAAGATGGGAAAGCAAAAAGGGGCAGGTTGCTTACCTCCCCAACTTCTTTTGCTTTCCTCACAAAGATTTAAAAAAATGACAAAAACAAAAGAAGCTATATAATACCCATATATATATATATATATATATATATATATACTATATAAAAAGACCTCCTAACTGTCCAAAAATAATAAAATAAATCTAATGCTATTATATGTACCTGGCACTGGAATCTTGGTTGGATCTGTCCAGGTCCAGGTCTCACAACATAGAAATAACAGCTTGGCTTTCACCTCACTACCCTACAACACAAATACCCTCATCATTCTCCTTTTTATCCCTCAAAAAGGAAATGATTTCCACACCCACCACCCCCCCAACAAAAATTCTGGGCTTTACTTTACTTTTACAGAAAATCAAACCAGAAGAAATTAAAATTACAAGACACTTGATTTTGTATTCCACCATGACAGAACTAGGAACCTCCCCTCTCCACCAAGGGACTTCCCCGTTGCACTCTTCATTCTTAGGACACTGGCCCAGTAGTTTGGTGCTCTTTTGTCCTATCTTTTCCACCTCTTGAACAACTCCAATGGAGGATTCTGCATTCATCAACCACACAATCCACATCAATTATAACCCCTAAAGTTAACACCAACATAATGCTATAAAGTAGTAAAACAATTTTTGTTCCGGACTAGAATTTGAACACTGAGTTACCTATTACGTTCTTGTTCACATACTTGATTTCGTTTTAATTTGACTATAGAGCGCCATCTCCTGATGTCCTAACACGCAGCCCCACGTTTCTTAGATCTTTTAGATGCTGTAGTATCTCTTGAAGAAGATAAACTCCTTTATCTCCTTTCCTCAAGGAACTGATGCAGTGCTTTAGAAACTCTCTGTCTGCTTCCAAAGCTTGTAATCTCTCGTATACGTGGTCTACTTCTTCCTCGATAGCAAACCTCTTGTTTTCCAGTTCAGATTCGGAAACTGGTGAATTTTGTGGAGCAAATGAATAAAAACCATTCTCATCATAATCATGAACACGGTCATGATCATGATCATGATCTCCATTCAATTCCCCATCTTCTGTTGCTTCTGCGTCAATTGCGTCGAAGAGAGGAAGCAGTCTTTTGGCCTTTGGTACTGTGATTCTCCTTTCTTGATGCTGTTTTCCATTTATTTCCTTTGGATGACCATTTGGAACACCATTAGCCTCCTCATTCTTGTAATCAAAGTCTTCAATATGGCAATGGCCATTACCATTTTCCCCATACAAATGCTCGATTGGTTCTATATCTTCGAAATGCTGTCCCTCTTCCTCATTCAGTGTAAATAACTTCTCTTCCAACACCTTAAGCTGCTCTAGAATCGACAACCTTTCTTCTTCGAAGTTGGCTAATGATTCCTCCAAATAAACAACAGCATCCACAGGGGTATTCTGGTTATTATGATCCATACTACTTTCACCATTGCAGAAACTATCCTCTTCTTTTGATTCTTGATTCAATTCAATAGATATTCCATCACTATCCTCACCGTTGCTACAAGAGGCTGACGAAGTTCTGCTTCTTCTGCTGCCAGCATCTTTCCTTCTTCTCAACACTGAAATTTTCTCTTTTGTTTCGTACTCCTGCACCTTCTTTCGATATGTTTCCAGCTCCTTTTCTAGCTCAGCTTTCTCTCTCTCTCTTTTCACCATAAGCTCATTCAAGAGCTGCAATGCTTCTTGGTCATACTCCGCTTGTTCCTCCATCATTCTCTGGTACTGCAAAGCTTCCATCTGCATTGCTGCCTTCTCCTCTTGAAGCCTGTTTATCATTGCCATTGTCTGGTTGGCTGCTATTGCAGAAGCACTCCTCTCTTCTTCTAGTTCAGAATATAAAGCATTTAGCGCCTTCCTTTCAGCTCGTAATGCTGATTTGAGCTTCTCAACTGTCAATGCTCCATCACCACCTTCAATGTCACTGATCACGCTGCTGCCATCCAAAGAATCTTCTGTTCCTGATTCCTTTCTCTCCAGCAGTAGCAGCCTCTTGTGTAACTGATGAAGACTGTCTATAGAAGTCGGAGTATCAGGCACCTTATCTTCCTCAATCTCGTGAAGCTCTGCAGATAATTGTACATGAGTGTTTATCTCATATTCTCTTGTCTCGATTGTCATTGTCTTGAATTCTAAAACTTCTTCAGCTTGTTTAGAACCTGATAAGTATACAAACATTTTCAAATGTTTACAAAATGCAAGGACAGTCTTTACTTAAAACGAGATGTAACGAAAGAGACTAAAATTTGAGCTAAGCTTACTATCGTCATCTTGTTCAGGTAACTGAGATGAACTTGTTGAAGGACTTTCTTGCAGGGCTGAATATTCAGAAAGATCTTCTTGAGGTGGAATATCATCAATGGGTTCATGATCAGGAATTTCTGTGCCAATTGAGATCTCTGCATCGGTTTCATCATTTTGTATTTGAAGTATATCTTCCAACTCTGCATCTGCTAACAAATTTATAAGAACTCCTGAACTAAATTAAGCATAAAAAGCTAAACTATCAAAGTCTGATGAAACCAATGGAGAAGTAAACAAGTACCTTGAAGTTGATAATCATCTTTATCCAAGTCTTCTGAACCCATTGCAGTACCTTCATGAACATCATCTATGTCTATCAATGGGGTTTGAGTTGCTTGAGTAGCAGCAACTTGTTGACCTCTATCTTCTATCAAGTCTCCATGGACGACTGTTGAATTCTGTTCCTCATTTTCCACTAGTTCAAGCACTGCAGCCTCTGCGTTCTTTATTCTCTCATGGGGTGAAAGTAATGTGACTGGCTCCTCGGAGCTGCGGCTCTCCACAACCAGGCTAAGGTCTGCCTCGTCTTGCAGGTTGAAATCCAGAATAACGTCTCCATTACCGGATACCCCTTGATCTTCTTCACTAAATTTGTAGAGTCCATGATTTTTTGTAGTTCTGGAGTTCATGAAATCAACTGGAATCAAATGACAATCATCCCCATCAATGTAAAACTCTAGATGCTTAGGCGTGACAATTTCAGAAGACTTCTCTTCACTGAAACCAATTTGGGTTGCAGATTGAGAACCCATGGACTCACCGGAATCAAGCCCTTTGTTTGTTTTTTGCGGTTCCCCAATAACCAAACCCACTTTCCCATCTTCATTATCTGCCATTTTCTTACAGTCAAAACTAGATATGTAGCATGAAAATTCATCCTCTGCTTCCACTTTTCTTCCTTCGAGACCTCCATCTGCCTCCCCTTCTCTTTCTTCAAGATCTTCTTCAACATCAGAAACCATCTGAGATCCTCTGTCGTCTTCAACCAAAGGTTCATCGTTCATTTGATCGGGCACAAAATCGGATCTGGTTTGATCTGAAAGATCACCTTCATCGACTTTACCATCAACACCTGTTTCTTCAATCAAGTTTCCTTTCTGAGTATAATCTAAAATATCCCAAGAAGGTTTAATCAAAAGATAAGGTGGGTATATTTTTTCCTCCAACTTCACTCCACAGCAAGAGCAATTCAAATCTTCCAGCTCAACAGTTTCACTCACCTTATTATTCTTATTACCATCACCTTGAACCATTCCAATTTGTTTCATCCATGGAAAAAAAGCAAACTTGTTTGACAATTCAGGCTGCGAGGAGGACGAGGACGAGCAATCCTCGCACATGTTATGTGATTCGGCCAGTTTTCGGTGACTGGCGCAGAAACCCAGTTTGGAAATCTCAGTGGCATGAGCATCGCACATAAAATCTCGGTAAGAATCCTTGTATTTGTGGGGCTCAAAGATATGATCGAGCCTAGAACACCAGAGACAGGGCCTTTTAAGGCCAACGTAATCGGCGAATTTGATAATTAGATAAGAAAAGAGAGAGTTGAGAAGGAGGAAGAAGATTAAAACCCATTCAAGAAGAGCGTAGACAAGGATAAGAGTAAGCTTGTTGGTGTTTCTATGTAGCATGGTTGCAAACTTGTTGGCCGCCATTGATGATCCTCTGTTTCTTATTATGTACAGAGATGGAAACAGAGTGAGACAGAGAAAAAAACAAGAAACAAATCAAAAGAAGATCCAAAACTGTTCTGTTCTCAGAGAAGAAGAAGAAGAAGAGATTATAGGATGAAAGGAAAGATTTTTTACAAAGGAAGATATGAAGGTGGTCTCAAAGGAGGAGGAAGAGGAAGAAGAAGAAGAATCAGATGGGGAAGTGGCTTTATTTGGACTTTGGAGTTGATGAAGGCCCTGTTTGAATGGGAATGACACCATGACAGCCAAAGTAGAAACTCAACTTTAGGAATAATTTAAAAAAAAAAAAAGAATATTAAAGAAAACAATGAGTCAGGGAAAATTAAAGAATATTTTATTTAATTACTTTCATTTTTTGTAAAGCATCAAAAATTGATTAACCATTAATTAAGCAATTAATCTTTGAAACAAGTAATAGACTACACAAGATTTTAGTACAAAAAAAGTTCCAGTTTTTCTGACTTTAGAATGCTTGCTTCTGGTATAATCTTTAATATTGCCTCCAAAAGATATTAAAAAAATATTTAGTGTTAATGTAATTTTCTTTAGAGAAAAAGTGATGGTATGCACAGCATTATATCTGGATTAGTGATGATTATTGTCTGCAGCATAAACCTAAAACTGGGGGAGGATAGACTTATAATTGATTCCAAACACTCTCTCGTCCCCACCACCACCCTGTTTTTTGTTTGTAAAAAAGGAAAGGGGGTGGCCCACCAACCATACCAGTGAGTTGGTGGACCAGCCTCAAAGTAATCTGTGGGGCCAATGTGGGACCCCCAGATGCTCCAGACTCTGTTACGTAATTCTCAATTTGGGCATCCCTTATAGCCGTTGAGTGGGGGGAGACATGGTAAAATAATCACACTCGTAAGGTTAATTAATTCCCTCTTTTTTTATGTGAATAAAATTAATTTTAATTTCATTCACATTCTTAATTTAAATAAAATAAATGTATAAAACATTAAGAGTATTATTTTTTAATTTTAAATAATTCAATAGTTAATATTTAAAATTATATCCAATTAAATTTTATATTAACATTTTAATGCTATGGTGTCAAATCCGGTGGTAACATTTTAATATTAAATATATTTTTCTTGATCTTTTTCTTTTATAAATTATTACTTTTTAATAATTAAGGGGAAAACAATATTTACATTTGATTTTTGGTCGAAGCAATATAAAGGTTTAGAAAATTCATTTATAAGATTAAGTCAATTCTTAAAAATCATAATCATAATTAGAGGATAATTTTCAAAATTTATAATTAAACAATGAGTGGATATAATTAAATAAATCTTGAAAAGTTAAAAAAAAAAAAAAAAAAAAAAATGGGGTGGTGATGTGATGTGAATATAATTTTAAGTAATCCTTGTAAAACAATTTCTTTTCTTCCAATTGACCAAATCTTCAATGCATATGAACACAGAATTAAGCATTGCAATAGAAGGGTTTGTAGCTCTTTGACAAACCCTAAAATCAAATTTTGAAAAACGAAAATTTTCAATATATAAATATATATATATATATATAGTTTTTAAATTACATTTAAAAAAAAAAACTGACATCAAAATTGACCCTTTCTATGCGGTGAAACATAATAATGGGTCACAAGCCCAATATTGGTAGGCCAGGGCTGCACCGCCACACACCCACCAGCCAGCCACCCCATTTCAGTATATTCTACTTATTTTTTTAAAAAGATTAAGAAAATGTCTTTTAAACCATTCTTATTATCATGTACTATGTATATGTATATATATAGAATCTCATTTCTCATTTTATTTACTTGGCCAAAATAATGTGTAAAATAAATCTTTTGTAATTTATGGTTTTCTTATATGTATACATATATATATATATATGTTAATCAAGATTGCTTTTGCTTTAGTTAGGTTTGTCCAAACAGTGTGTAATGTCTGATATTTTCTGCCCCACCAAAAACACTTTCAACTCTTCAAATCCCCAAAAAGAAGAAAATTAAAATTTTAATGAAAAAAAGTTGTGAAATTAATTTAAAGATTAAAGAAGAAAGATGATTTTGTTCCCTTCCTCCCCCTCCCAACTTTTCTACCAAATTGTAAAATTAATTTGGCTGCCAGCTGATCACCAAATTAATTAAAGTGAAATCTTTCTGAAACTGCTTTAAGTTAAAACCCTTTAATTTTTCCTTCAATTTTTTTTTTATTTTCTTTATCTTCTTCTTTTACCAGATTGAAAAGAAATTATAGAGCAAAATTCACTTTTTTCTTTTTTAATAAATAGATATTTATTTTAATTTTTATTTGACTCAACTAAAAAATAATTTTAGGGTATTTCAATTTTACATAGCACAATCTTTGAATTGTTGAAAGTGTAAAATCAAATAAATATGAACACCAACTTTTTTAATAGGTCCGGTCCACATTCCACAAAATCTTGAACGGTCTAAATTTATGCGCTCAAAACAACGCTCCTCCTCTCCAATTAACAAATTGCTTGAAAATTCAAAAAACAATGTATGTCAATAAGCATGCATATACATATATATAATTGAATTAAAAAGGGGGAATGTTTTTATAAATGTTAGTCTTCATTGATTGTATAATGGAGGGGACATGGTCATCATCCACATGAGTAGCGTGGTTACAAAGACATCATCATCTAGCGAATGACAAAGTATTTTGCTTAATCTTGTATAATAATCATCTATAAAAGTGTCCCTTACCCATTTCTAATCATCGTAAACCCTAATTTTTCTCAACAGTCAATTTAATTTCTTGTTTAAAAGAGGCCCTATATGCTTCACTCATTGGGTTTTCCCAATTAAAAAAAAAAAAAAAAAAATTTGTACCATAAAAATCAAGAAGTGAAAATTTTAAAATCCCATTAATTACTAGTATCTATATAAGAATTTGAGATTGAATTTTACCCCTTTTGATATCATAAATATATTTTTTATTGTGTGACATGAAATTTTTAATTACCAATTAAAATGGAATAAAAAGATAGAGATACCTTTTTTCTTTTTTTTTTTTTTTTTTTTTACCGCGTTGAAGAAACGGTCCAATTGATGGTAATTAATTCAGATTGAAGATATGCATACATATATATATATATATACATATACATATATATAACAATTATAATAAAAAATTATAATAATCATTAAGGGTTCCGATCCCTATTGAGTAAAGTTCTTAAAATTTGTAAAAAACCATAAAAATAATTAGTAATTTGTGTATTAATTTCTTCTTGAGACATTATAAAGCTCCGTCCAAAAATTCAAAAGATATGATTGAGGAGGTTGAAGTGAATTAGGAGAAGTGATGATGGAAAATGCAAGCGTGGGGTGAAGTTTTCTGATGATGGCTTCTGGTTTTTTACTTATCGCGTATTGCCTGATATTATATTTATTTTAGGAATCCATAATTTATTTAATTATAAAAATTAGGTATTGTTATTGTTGAAAAAAAATTGGAAAAAATTAACACGGTAAAATCTAAACTTAATTTTTACTTCATGGTAATAACATTAACATGTAAATTAAGATAATTTTACAAGTGAATTTGTAAATTTTAGTACATAAGATTCTGAATTTGATTTTTTTTTTTTTTTTTTAAAAAGTAAAATACAAAAGCATACAAACCCTAACGGTCGAATTAAGTGTTAAGGAAAAGGGACCATCCACAATCTTGGTTTTGCCAAGATTCTAAAATTTGATTTTGTATTTCTTTTAGTTTTCTTTTAATGGACAAACAAGGGTCCCATGACAACATTTGGTAATTAACAAAATGGGAACTACTTAAAAAGAAGCTTTGGATGCTAAACATGATTAATTAAATTAAGTTCTGTTAAACAAAGCAAATAATATTAATTAATTAACAAAATAAATAATAAATAATAAAGAGAGAGAGAGAAAAAAAAAAAAAAAAAGAGAGAAAGAGAAGATAAAAAAAATGGGGAGTTTGAATGGTAATGATGGTGAATTGAGGGCGCTCGAAGAGAGTGGGGGCAATGGAGAACTGGTCCTCCATTTCTTTCTTTCTTTTTTTGAACTTTCTTGCTTTTTCTTTTAAATCTCATGAAATTAACAAAGATTTTTTTTTTTTTTTTTTTTGTGATAGAGGTACAAGTAAATGGAAATTGTGACATTTGAATCCTACCCTTATGATTTGCTTGTTTACAAATCATATATTAATAATATATAGATTAAAAAAATAATAAAATTTGGCAATAACGTGAGTATATAATGAAGTATACAGAGTAGTGTTATGGTGTTAAGCAGAAACATGTGCATAAAAAGGAAGTTTCCTAAATGAGAAACACGGCATGATGATTAAGTCCCAACCATGCACATGTTATCCAACCATCATTCCACATGGAACCTTCTTTGAACTAACAGTAACTCATTTATATTGTAAAAATACCATATCATAATCCTTAACTTTTTGTGCTATGTTATAATTTAATTAGTTCCTTAAACTTATCAATTCGTTCTAAGTGAATGCGAAAATAGAGATAGAAATTTAGATGGAATCATATGGTTTGACGGAGAGCGCCGAATTGTTTCATTCTGAACACAACAAAACCAGAAGTTGGAGATGAATAATGGAGTTTCTTTCTGGATTTTGTCGTGCTTCACCCTTCACCCATAATTTCACTTACTCCCATCCAAATGTTTGTGTTCTTTCCACCATATATTTTATATTATAAACAAATGAACAAAATCTGTTCTAACCCACAAGTTTTGGTTTGATGGGTTATTCAAATCGTACCTTACCATCCAGATCTAAATTAGAACAAAATATGTTGAAAAAACTAAAAAGCAGCTTCAAGTTTTCTTTTCTGACAAAAAAAAAAAAAACAAATGCTTAGACAATGATGGAAGTTTTGATCAATGTAAAGAGACAAAGTAGTACCTGCAGCCAGTAGTTGATTACAAAAGAAAAATACAGTGGAAAACAATTAATTGAATTCCCTAATTATGAGAATATGGAAGCAACCAAAAGCAACGTGAGGTGTCCAAACTGGAGGCAAGGCCAAAGTTAAAAATGGTGTATTTATCAGCTTTGTACGATCCTGCAAACAACTATGTTAATAATAAGCAGCTTTTTCAGAGTTTTGTTCCTCTCTTTCCTAGTGTTCGTGTTGGAGGTGGTATCCTATGATCACAAAACAGAATCCACTTTATTACCTTGCAAATCAACAAACTCTGACTCGAATCATTCCTCACTTCAATACTATTTTACTGCTAATCTCAATGTGATCCAAGCATGTAAAAGATATACATATTTATAGATATACTGAGAGAGTGAGAGAGAAGCAAGTGCTTCAAAAATTACTTCCAATATTCTCAATCAAAACAACTAATGACTACATCTTTCACTATTCACTCCCTAAATTCTACAAACCCAAAGATTGACGCAATGCTCAAAACCATTTTATCTCGTCGTGCGTGAGCTCATTCTACTTTACTCATTCTCAAAATACACGGAAAGCCACTTACAAATGTTCAAACATGCAAATTACAGAAGCCCTGTACTTCCAAATGGATTGTTTGCTTTTTGATGAGCATGAGGATTAGCAGGAAATGGGCCAAAACCTGTATCGCCAAAAGGGTTTGTTGGGTTCACCGATGGATGTTGCTGCTGCAATGGCTGTTGGTAACTTGGCTGATAAGCAGCACCAAATGGATTGACCTGCGGTTGAGTCACTGATGTCATTTGAATTGAGGGAAGGGGAGAAAATCCATTGGACCCAGCAAATGAATCTTGCAACTCAAATGGATTTGGAGCTGGTGCTCCATAGACAGGCTGCTGAGCGGCTCTATATGCTCCTTCATCGTATAAACTGTTCAGCGTGAGAGAGTCCAATCCGCCAGCCTGACATTTAAAAATCAAGAAATTTGACAAGATGAAAATTGAGAAACAGCAAATTTGTTCTCTTATTTCTGCTAAATTCTCCAAGTCTAATGAAGTATCTATTAACAGAAAACAATAATGATAATCTAACATCAAAGGAAATCAATCAAGCAAAATCTGATAGCAAAACGAGAAGCAGGACCAAGATAACACCTTCTGAGAAATGTCGCTGAAACTAAATTTTACAAACAAAGCAAGCCCTACTTTAAAGCCAAAAAATATATATATATCGATAAATATGCATATTTAATAGCCTGGCAAACTGGCATTTAGTAAGGAAAGATATACATAAGGTGCATCAATTGATTTATAGATAACTCAAATCAAAACCAGAAAACTGCAGCTCAATCCTCACCAACAGTAAAGTAACTTAAGTCTTAGCAAGTATAAATAAGATACAATTTCATAGATACAGATAATAACAAGCACAAGAAAAGACCTACCAACTGCCTCTCCGTGGTTGCAGAAAGGTTGCTGCCGGGTGTGGTGACCAGGGCAAGTTCCCATCCAGTGGGATCAAAATCTCTTGCTTGACTGGCACTAGAATCAAATGTTGAAGTAGTACCTAAAGAAACAAAAATGATCATTCTAATTTTTTTTTTGAAATAAATATCATTCTAATTTATATGATACGATGATTTACGTAATTTGAAAAGAAAAAATACTATACCACCAAGATCCGCAGGAACAATGGCCAAAGCCAAAGCATTCCTCTCCTCAATTGCAGATGCATCAGGAGCAGCATAATCCAATCCCTGAATTCCGTCTCCCATGAAAAAAAAGGGGAAACATTAAATCAAGAAACAAGAAGCAAAATAGGCACACTGCTAACAGATAATCAATTGAAAAAAGACTAGAAAATGATTGATTACCAATAGATCTCCAGTCTCCATGTTGTTTTGAGGAGCTGGAGGTGGAGGTGGTGGAACAGTCTCGATATTCGAGACAGCAACATCATCCATGGGAAGTGGTTCAGGTTCCTCACTGGATAATTTGGAATCTTCAGCAGGGGGCACTTCCTCTGGCCGGTACGTTAGAAGCTGCTTATGATAACCACATATCAGTTTCTTAAAAGGAGTGTTCCCTTCCAGGACAATTTAATTACAGAAGGATCAACCAAACAGCTGGAACTTCAGTTCATGGAGTAAATTCTGATTTAAGAACTATGACCAAATGAAGTAATTGGTGAAATGGTGAAGGTACATTTCCTCGACTCACATCTCTTTTCATCTTTCTATTCTCTTCCACCATCAACCCAAATCTATCAGTTCTTAGAATAATATTTTGGAAATTTAACTTTGTCAAAATCATAAGGAAATTTTTCTCAAATTTTCTAAAATTTATCTACTTTCTCACCATATATATCACTTTTTAGAATAATATTTATTCCACTTCTTTTTCCGAAGGGTATATATTCATTTCAGTTCGTAAAGTTCCTACATGATTAGCAGAGAGCAACTCTTATCTGTAGTAACTCTCATTTTTAAACAGATTCCTTAACGGTTCAATAAATTTCTTCATGACTCAAATGATAATCTGAGAAAAAATCGAGGACACAAGTCAAGATAAATTTTCAGAATATCCACAACCTTCTTGCCTATTTCTAGTTCATTTCTTTCAAGAGTTCCTTCAGAATATATTTATTATTTAAATGATAGAACTCCCTAGTGGTTTTGCAAGAAATATACTTGCAAAATTAAAATTTTTCATACTGACCAGTGGCTCACTTGGAACAGAAACCACCCGAGGTGCTTCTCTTATATACTCTTCCATTGTTGTAAGAAAGGATTGTGGTGGCTGAAATTTTTACCACAGAAAACAAATTAACATAAGTGCATGAATTTTTATTTTTTTTTAAGAGAGGGAACTAGAACACTAAATCACATTATCATTTACCTCCCTCAAAGTTGGAAACTGAAAATTCCTAGCAAGTTCCAACCCTTTGCAAATTTCATAGAAATCAGACAGATTACCAGCCTGCAGCAGAAGACTAGATTTATAATCACATGACAGTAAATAATTTGTGGAAAGAAAGTAGGCATCCAAAATAGCAACAACTGTGCCTGTTGCATATACCAAAAATAATCACCTCCAATTTCAACATTAACAAGATCAATGAAACATCACCTGCTGACCAGCTCGTTTGTATATATCAAGGGCTTTTAGAGCTTCATGTCTTGGCATTTCAAAGAACTGCAGTAAAAATGGGATGTTAAAAGAAGAAAAGCAAAAAAAGGCAATAGTAGCATATTAGATACCCATAAAAGATCAACTTACCTTATCTACAAGATTGATAATACCATCATTAATAGCACAATAAATTTTAAAACTCTCCTTCAATACCTGAAAATTGTACATGATAACAACATCACAAAGAATCTTAGGCAGAGCTATTTTATCAAGTATGCTCCATTTTCGTTTTTTCCCCCCATCCACATAATACAAGAGAAAAAGAACACTAAAAGCCTGTTGAGGAGGATGGAAATACCTAAGATCAATAGTTTTTCTTCCCAGCACAAGTGTTGTTAAGAAAGCAAATAGAATTAGTAGGGCCACCATATGTGAAAGCCAAACAATTAAAAAACCTCATTTTATATATTACACATCCTTGTAAAGTCTGAAAACAATAGAAATGGTTTCTTGAAAAGAAAAAAAAAAAGCAGATGACAACTTGAAAAAAACATCCTAAATTAACAAAATGGCACCTTGGTCCTACACCTATTCCTCTCAATTCCCTCTCTTGTATCACCATCTCTGCTTTTAGTCCTCTATTTACCTGCTCAACACGAAATTAGTGGTAAATCTCCCTCCATCTCTCTCATGATTATGATTATTATCGCTGGAACTTTAGTTTGTTAGCAGATCTTCAACAAAATGTGCTTCGTTGATCTTATCATTTTCTTTCTTTCTATCAAAATTTTTCATATCTTTCATACGGTATAGATCCATTTCACCTTTTTGATAAAATAACAAGTATTATTACCAAAAAAAGGACCTGCAACCTAAAAAAGGATTATGTTCAAAAAGAAAAGGAAACAACAAAAATCTTTCATGGCTTTTTTGCCAGAGACTCTGGTTTTAGGTTCCTGAAGCCTTCCAGGGATGTTAATGTTGACGCGCAAGTTTATTTCTTGATGTGCTCCAAATTCTGGTTCTGCATTTCTTCACTGGGTTAGTCTTTTTATCACAGCTAGACAACTTGCTGCTGGCAAATCTTGTCACTATTATCTAAATTCTCCAAAATCTTAAATTAGAAACTATCTTCCAAGAATTTGCTCAAAACCTGCAGAATAGGCTGAGCAAAATGCACTCTAGAAAAACTTTGGGCTTCGGAGATTGAGCATGTTGTTGGAAAAGTTTTTTGAATCCCTCTCAATTTTTAACATGTTTAGATGAATTTTTAAAGATAATTTTTCACTATGGCAAGTGCTTATCGATCAGTGTGTGTGTGTGTGTGTGTGTGAGAGAGAGAGAGAGAGAGAGAGAGAGAGAGAGAGAAGAGAAAACAAGCTAGTGAAGCCTTATATTAAAAAAAGAACCAAATTGTCACATCACCACAATCACTGTCATCACAAATTGGAACCTTGAAAATTCAAGTTCTAAATTCTTCAACTTTGCAATAGTCCTAATAGCAGAGAAACTTGTTTCCATAAAATGCAGCAGTCAGGAGACGGACCTACTAATTTTGCATATATATGTCAACTCATGCATACCAAAGTTGAGCCAACTTTAGAAAATTTTTGGCGGAGCTTTAATGTTTCTTATTTCCGTGCTTGCTTAAAAAATAGCGAAGATAATGCACCTTACAAATGAAAATTTTGCTAAATTCTTATTGACTAGTACTAATATTGGTGGCTCAGAACCACAATCACCAACATAAAAATTCTATCATGAATTTTAGATATGAATTTCTGCATAAGATAACTTAGATAGCAGGCGTACCAGAGCAAGAGCATATTGTATGACGTAATTGCCAACAGCAGCCCCTTCTGGCTGAAAAAATAGGCAGAAAATCTACTTAACCCATAAATACTAGCATCATATGCCAGATATAATGCAAAGCCAAAAAGAAAGCGTATACCAAAAACAGTGGCATAGCATTCATATGAAAAGAAAAGTTAATCATTGAAGAGAACTAAAAGAAAGTACCCGGCAACCAATGAGACGATACAGCAACTGCTGCAAAGCAGGCAATTGCTCCAACAGTTCTTCACTGTCCAATTCTCTAGTTCTGCTGTAACCCTGCCCGTCAAAAGAACAAAACTGAATACACTGTCCATTTGAGGTTAAGGATAATTAATTCTCAAATAATTCATTAACTGGTACCTTATCCTGCCCTTGGGCAGATCTTGGTAGGCGCTCAGCCTCAATGTCATATTTCAAAATCCTGAAGCATTCAAGTCGCTCTTCCAGAAACAGAGCATATGTACGTACCCAGGCAGAACAATCCCAGGCTGAAAGAGACAAAATGCAAACAACAAATATTGAAGTTTTAAGGATGTATATAATTATATTACATAAGAGGTAGAAAAATTTATAAATTTTAATTCATATACCATAGAAGCAATTACAATAATGAAACTGAAATACTACATTTGATCTTAGCCAAAAGGCAGGCAAAGCTAAGATGAAATGGGAATACTACTGTGGCATTTTGAAAGATTTGCTTTCATATGGATCTTACCAAGTGGACCAGGTTCATGAAAAAAAGAAGGAAAAAATAATGGTGATTTAGAAGACCAATATAACAAATCATGGTATACAACCTGCCTAGAAAGCAGTAACAATGGTCAATAGAAGATAGGAGAATGACATCCAAACTCACCTATCGGGCTTGAATCATCCTTGAAATTAGAAAGTTGTAAGATACGTCCTCTCTGAGAGAAATTTAGAAGTTCTTCTCTGAAAGTTGGATCACCCTCCCTTAACATCCTATGAATTACTATCAGTGTTTTTAAGGCAACCTGTTGAAACAAATGGAAGTAAAAAAGGAAATACAATAAGAACTGGTGACATTAGAATGACAAGCTAACTACTGACAATTTTTAAACCAGTAATTTCACAGATACCATCCATTATACGCTTTTTTGAAACACAGTTCGTTATTTATAACAGAATGAACGAGCTTCAGACATATGGATGGAGAAGATATCATGCGTGAACAGAACTTTTTAGAAATAAAACTTCCACTACTTCTGACAAGGCTGAAAGACACAAGATCCCTCCATGATCTTGTCAACAATTTTTAAGTACTGAATGAAGCTTTTCTTGTTTTAACTCCCAATATTCTTCATGAAACTAATAATATTAATATAAAAAAATGACAACAACAATAATACTATTAAATCCTTGGTTACAGCTAAGTGTTTATAAAAGAAGGAAGAAAACTACAGATGCACCCAAGTTTTTTAGCTGAATTATATCAATAAATATACTGAAAAGGGTTAAGCTCCGCATTCGTCTCTTTTTCTATGTTTTGAGGGGGTTGAAAACCCCTCACTGGGCTTGAAATTTTTGGATTTATTCTCTTTATTCTTGGATTTTAGTCACAGTCTCGCCAACGAGGAGGAGTTGGACCTCATAGCTTCTGTAGACAGGTAGCAACTCACTGCTCCCAGTGCGTTGTGAATGCATTCTCGTTTCTATCAAAGAAAAAATGCTATTGTATCCTTATTCTATTAATGTGATACCACCTAGATCTGCAACTTAGCCTCCTAAGGGTTATGCAACTTCCTCCTTTTGCACTCCAGATTGGAAAAGCTTAAAGTGAAATCCACCAAAGATGAGAATATGCAATAACCCCACCTCTAAGTTCAAAAAGTGATGCAGGCTTTCTTAAATTCCTAAATAATCACTGAATGTTTCTGTCTCTCAAGGTTTATAACATGCTGAATGAAACCTAACCAAGTTTAGCCCACCGCCAAAATTATTAGGTCCTCCAGCCAAAATGAGCTCTCGAGACTCAACTCTTAAGGGCGTCTTTCTCAAGAGTTTCTCCCTACTGATAACACTGGAAACTCCTCTTGACCTTGTCATAGAACTTGTAATATGCTAAGAGTAGAGCAAGTGCTGACTACATTTATCATACAAGTACCAAATATATAAAAAATTTAATTATTTCAGACCATCAAACTAGCTTAACTTGAAATATTTTGCAAGTCAGCTTCATCTCACAATTTTAGATCCAGCAAAATGAGAACCATTTGAAGGTTAAAGAGACATAATTTGACAAGTATTCCACTCTAAATGCTTGGTGTAACAACATTCTGAAACTGAAATACATTTGAATCCTCCATACACCACCCTAATTGTTCAGAAAAAACAAAAAATATAAAGGTAAGAACAACTCCTCTCAAAAACTATAATACCGTCAGTCCTCCACAAACGTCCAAAATTATTCAGAAAAAGAAAGGAAGCGAAGAGACTTAACATCAAGTGGAAACTAGGAAAGAAAGTATAGCTGAAGCTTGTTAGAAAAAATATGAACGCAAGCGAGATAAACAAGTCCAACAAATCAAGAACTTAATGCTAACAATGCATTAAAACTGTTACCGAAATGCAGATAGAAGCTATCACTCTTCGATCACCTAAAAGCATTCAGTACACGTTCAAGAAAGTATCTTTAACAAATAAATTTCCAACAATATTTCCAGTACATGACATAGAAGAATTAGAACCGATTTCCCAACCATGCAATGCAATGAGAATAATTAAAGATAAGCTAACTTTAATTTCCAGAAGAAAAAGGAATTCTCGATAGATCTACAGAATGCTTCTTAATATACAAAATAAAGACTTTTTTTTTTTGAAATAAAATACAAAATAAAGATTAAGCTCTCCGAAAACAAATCGCGTAAATTGATAGCACCATTACCGTCCAATTGTGAGTCTTGGCCAATCGCCGGGACAGTGCATGAATGCAGTAAGCAACATCTGCTCGGGGCCGAATCGCTGATGTGGCCAACAAGATTTCTAAAGCAGGATCAAATGAAGAGAAAAAAGATCAGAAAATCTCATATATCTCCTTCAATTATTCAAGACCCAGAGAACAAATTTCGATCTTTGTCATTAAAATTTAAAATTTTAGAAAAGAAAAGAAAAAGAATCACTCACTTCTGAGGTGCCTTTCTTTGGGCGGGCACTCAACATGGTTCGTAGCTTTAACTATCGCCACATCCAAATCCTAATTATAGAACATCGAATCAAAGAAAACCCACCAAAAGATTAATTCAAAAAAAATTTAAAATCAAATCTATAATATACAGTTGTCGAAAAACTAAGGATTTGAGTCGTTTTAGATACATAGACATATATCGATAAAACAGAGATAAAAAGAAAGGAAAAAAGAAAATAAACAAATGAGAAGAAATGAAGGGTACTGCGTAATCGCTGTTGACATGGGCAAGGCCGACTTTGGTGGTGTCCTTGAGGGCGCCATAGGCTTTCCTCCACGTCTGTAGCGTTCCCATCTGTACCCGCAAACCGCTCAGATCGGTCTCGTCTGTGTCTTTCTCTCTCACTTTCTTGGACCAAAAAAGAAAGAAAAAAAAAAAAAAGAAGAATAGTTGGGGGTTGGTTAGTTGTTTGTTTCTTGGGATTGATACGTGGTTTCGAGGCCTTGATTTTCTCTGTACAAAGTCTGCGAGATAGAGAGAGAGAGAAGAGCGATTGAATTTTGATCAACTCGAGGGAGAGAGAAGAGGATAGATAGATACTCTTCTTCTATTGCCAAATATAGGCTGTTATTTGTTCTTCTTGTTGCGATCTTTTGTGTGTATAACTTCTCTTTTTATTTTTATTTTTTATATTTTATATTTTGGTTTAGTTTTGATTCTTTCTTTCGGTTGAGGATTTGTGACCTGAAGCCTTTTGGCGGCCCCCTTCTGACCCTGTTGTTTCACTTTTTTATTATTCTATTTTTTAAAAAAAAAAATTAGGAGCATTATTTCTTTTAATTATTAGATATATTATTTTTCAATAATCAGATATATATATATATATTTTTTTTTTGCTTAAACATAGATTTATTCCATAATCATGTAATATACTTGCAATTATCAATTAAAATACAAATACCATTTTCAATAAATAAGGTTGGGATAAAGTATTTTTTGTAGAAAAGATACCCAGTAATAATGTATTAAGATTTAAAATCTCACTCGGATAAAAGGGTTTTTATTAGTAGAAAATATAAGATTTAAAATTTCCACTAATTTGTTAATGTTACCGTAAACAATTAATAGTTAATATTTGAGAATAAATTTTACGAGATTTACCTATAAAGAAAACTATATGTTACTCTCACATAACTATTTATATAAATTTAAATTTTCATTTACCTACGTTAGAAGGAAAAGAAAGTTAGGAAAAATAAAATTAAGTAAAGAAAAATGGGAGTAAAATTAATTAATTAATATTTATTGAGTAATTTAATGGGGATAATATTATTACAGAGCCAACATAATCATTCAACTTTTTGAAGAAAATTAGACCAATCAACCATTACTAGGAGAAATGAAGAATGCCATTTCATTTTAATGGTTGAAAACTGAAATTTACTGACAGTTTTATGTTAATTTACTTACATAAATTAGTGAGAGTGATTATGAATGTTAATCGTAAAAGAATTCTTTCTCTTTCTAATATATATATATATATATATATTTCTGGAACGGTGTTTTTAATATTTCTTAAAGAGTTGAGAGAGCAGGCCACCTCGATTTATACATATCATCACATGAAGCAAAAATACAGAAGTTAGCTGGCAACCTACCAAGCAAGAATAATCTGGAAACCATACAAAGTTGTGTTGACAATGTGTCCCACTTTATTTTCAATGTTATGAATTATATTCATCAGAATTCAGAGGCTGTGAATTTCACATTCAACCCACAATATTTTTCAAACTAAACAAGCATATATATATATATATATATATATATATATATATTCAAAGTTCAACTGGAACTTCCCATTTAGAGAGAAAGAGAAAGAAGCAATAATCTGTGAGTTCACATTCAAAAACATAAATGCTAATCAGGAAATGTATATACTAAGAAAATGAAAATACTTCCTTTTACGAAAAGGAATCAGAATTTTTTTTTTGGGTGGAGGATTTCCTGTACATCGTCCCCCTTTATTTTACTTTCCCCTGAACAATTATAATAAACTAATTTATATACATAACATGTAACCTCAAATGCATGATTAGGCTTTTTTTGTTGTAGTGGGGAACAAAGCAATTAAACAATGCTGTTCTTTTCTTTGAGGAGCAGTTTTACTTTTACCCTATTGGTAAAAGTTTCTTACTAGTATGATGAGCAATTCACATACATTAAATTAATAAGTTTCATTTAAATAGAGGAGGGAATCCCACCAAAATAGAATTTACCCATTCATTTTGAAAATTATTTTCCTATAATTTTGGAAGTTATTTATTTAGTCGTACATTTCAACTAGTTTATTTATTTATTTTTTTAGAAAAAAGATAAAAAAAAAAAAAAAAAAAAAAAAGTCTACAATCATTTTAGCAATGTTTTCACATAGATGTTCGGTTGATTTTAACTGTTGAAGAGTGTATTCAGGCATAATAGACGGCGTTACAATGACAACACACGACGTTCGTGAAATGATGAAGTAGTCAACTACAAGATACAAAAAAAGAAAATCAGTCAAATCACGCATGAATCATTTTAATGTTGTGTTGGGCTCTCACACTTTTGTAATTTTATTCTTTTAAGCCAAACAAACAGCAGCCATCAGACTTGGCTGCGCTCTCAAAATTCAAATGGTTGAATACTGTACACATACTACACACAGCTAAAGACCAAATACAAATACTATTGTCAATTCACAATATATATATATATATATTTAATAGCTGATTCTGCTCAAATATACCAAGAAACTGTGCTTTTCAAGGTTGGGTTGATTTTAAGGGAAAGAAAGAGTAGGCAACTTACCAGTAGCTATGGTCGTTAAAAACTCAATTTCAATAGTGTACTCTACAGCAGCCTCATCATATGCTGCTTTCCTGTATCAAAGAAAAAGAAATCTTAAAAAACAATGGTAGTTGGGAGCTCAACTAGTGATCTGATCTGTGAGCTCTCTAAAAGCCAACTCATTCCCCATCAATCTCTGCAGAATTCCCAAGTCTTTCTAAAGCCATATATACTAAACATGCATTAATAATTAGGCAATATTACCAGTGCTATACTAGGTAAGTTGTTGAGGAGCACCAACTCCAAGTGCAGCTTAAGCTTCCTAGATAATATGGTCAGTACCACCAGAGAAGCCTTGGAGGCGGGAGGGTGGAAGAACAGAGATTTCAGGTTGAATTCCATACTCTGAAAAGAATCCGATTCTAAATGGTTTCACTACTGTCTCTAACGATAACTGTATAGCTTGTGGACATCCTCTTTTTTCTTAAACATAGTTTGTGAACACCTTATTGTTTAAGGCCACTTTTGGTATACCGAGTAGGGTGGGATAACAGAACTTTACCCCTGCCCTGCTCAGGGTTTGGAACTTAAAAATAAGAGTGGGTGGAGTAGACCCTTATCCTATTCCCACTAGATATGAACCTTATTGGGATGAACAAAGCCTTCCTCATTTGCTTAGGGTAAGCTTATCCACCAACCCCTCAAAAATTTTAGTTTACTCCTTTTCTACTCTGTTTCACAAAGCATCCATCATTTGTCAAAGACCAAATTGGCAAATCCATTGGAGTTCTCACCAGAAAACTATAAACTTGGTCATCAACCACCAAATCATCTCCTTAATTACTTTTTCACCCAACTCCCTCTTCATCTTGCTGCCCATTGCACAACCATGCTCTTAAACCTACCATCTCTCGGTCTCAAACTTCACCGTGCTCCATCACCATCACGGAAACCCACAACTCCATCTTTAGATCCTTACCCATACTCACCAAAAAGCCTCCAGCTTGGCCCCTGACTCCCACCAGTACAGCTCCACTGTCATGCCATAGCTTCCTCAACAATCTCGATTTATGGCAATTTTGTATTTCTTGTTGTTATGCCAAGGATTTCAAAACCTTGAATTGATGGAAAATATTGCTTCAGGATTTGTACAATGGATTTGGGGATGATAGGATTAGTTGCAAACTTCTGCTGTGGAAAGGGAGGAGAAGATAATAATATTTTTAGATTGATTTAGTTCATTTATTATTGCGAGTATCTTAATATATTTTATTTGTTCTACATTTAAACTTTTCTAAAGCTATTTTTCCATTTTATTATTATATTAGTTCTACTGGTGTTCTCTAAATATATTGGTTAAAAGGCATTATTGACATTTTCTAGTATGTGCTTGGTGTATCACCGGATGCATAAGTAGAGTAAATATTGGTTACTCGCTTGCTTACTTCGTGTCACAAACTCTATGATGAGTAGCTTACCTCCTAATTCAGCTATCTAGCACTGTACTGCTTAAAATGGCAAACATAGCCCAATTATAAACGGAGCACACAGCTACAAGAATAATCTTATAAATGAGCATCAGTATCTTGCATCACAAAGTCTGAAATTTAAAACCTTGGCACCGAGGTACAAACCTGAAGTGATTAGACAACAAGAACGGTGAATTCTCGTAGTGAACTTTTAACATGTTAGATTAATGATAATCGGTACCTTACACCCCACCTATGATGTGGTTGATGACTAGAATTTCCTCTCTTTCTCTAATCGCAAAAACAAATAAATGGGCTACCTAATTAGAGTTTAAAGTAGAAATCTAAATGTAGGATTATGGGGAATCAATTGGACCCTACTCAATGGCTCGTAAATCAAAATATAACGTAGATAACTACTCAACTGTCAATATTAGAAATGTCTATAAGCTCATAACACTAATGGATCACAAATAATTAGGCTTTTCATCCATATCATATAGAGAATCACCATACGTACTTAGCATATCAAGAAACCTACTTTTATTGTCTGCCAAAGATAAAAAAGATAATAACTCTAAGGTTACATTTGGTACCTGGAAGGTAGTGGGTATGATATGATTGGGTAAGGTAGTTAGATTAGGTAGAATACATTTCCCATGGGTATAGATAAGAATTTAATAATATAAATCTTTTTCGTAAGTCATATTAATAATGCTGGTGGTAATGGTAATAACAGTTATAGTGACCAACATAGAAGACAAAGATGAGTGGCAACTATAAACTTTCAGAATAATCTCACTTGGTGAATCTTTATTCCATTTATGATGTGTTTATACATGAGTTGCAAGGGAAAGTCCACCTTGAAGGGGAACTCGTTTGAAATAAAATCTGGAAGCAAACAGAATATTGATATACCGTTTTATTCCCCCTCAATCTAAGCGTAAATGTATCCAAAGATTGGCTCTCAATTAGTGAAAACATCTCATGGTAAGGATTTTGGGAAAGACATCTACCAATCGTCCTTGACTCCGGAAATGATGGTCTTGTAGTTGACCAGACCGGACTTTCTCATGATCGAAGTGAATATCCAGCTCAATACTTATCCATCTCAATACATTTTGAATGGGTATGTTGAAGTGGAATAAAAGTTATGTATCTAGCATTAATATTGTCACACTAATTGGTAGGTTTAGCCTCCAAAATAAATTCTGAATCCAAGTTAAATCAATTACAGCAAAGGCAACTTATATAGTAGCAAGGGAGCATGTTAGATACGACTGAAGGCCATGATTTATAGTAGTTCCTCGAAACATATGTCAAAATGCATTTAACAGCATGGAGGCCATGATTCTCCCAGGATCATGCATATGTTGACATGTTTAATTGACAGCAAAACAGAGTTCTACGCGAGTGAAAGTTAAGTACTGCAATGTCCCTGATTCTACATAGCTTATTCAAACCAAATAAAATACTAACCACTCGCTAGGCATGCCAAGAAAATGAAAAAAAAAATTCATGATCAAGCACATGCTCGAGTGCTCCATCTAAAGTCTGTATTATACAATGACTATGACGTGGCAATAGTGATAGCGACGGAGATGGTAGCAGCTGTGGGAATTATGTGGAGCAAGCCACAATGGAGGCGATAGTTGCAGCTGTTGCTACAACAACAACATTAATAGCAGTAACAGTAGCATGGTAAGTGACAATGGCAACAACAATGATGATGACAATAATGAAAATGATAAAACGGTAGTGGTGGTAACGGTGGTGGTGACTCCAGTAGCGGAGGTGCTAATGGCAGCAGCGGCAGTGGTGAAGGTAGAACAGATAGTGGTGACAACAGCAGCGATACTAGTGATAGTAGTGGCAGCAACAATAATGGTAGTGGCAGCAGTGGCAATATGGTAGCTGCGATGATGATGACAGTGAGATAGAAAAGGTGGCAATGGTGAAGGCAACAAGGGTGGTGGCTGTAGTATTATGGATGGAATTGATAATAATGGTGATGGCTACAGCTGTTCTGCTGATAGCATTAGCGGCAGTGGCAACAATAGGAGTGATGGTTGTAGTATTGGGTGTAGAAGAGACATTAGTGATGGTGATGATAGTGGTTATGATGGTGGCGGTAGTGGCAGATGCAGAAACAATAAGAACAGCAATGGCAGCAACTGCAGGTTGTAGTATTCTTTATTAAGGAATAAATATAGAAACAAAAAATTTAAAAAGGAATTTTAGTCTTTTTAAGAAGCACTGTGCTGAATGAATACACCTCCCATACAACGAATAACAGTCCACCGTAGAACAAGTAGTATGTTACACTATACATAAGAAATTATCTCCTAAATTGACATTGGATACCTTATCTACATAATGTACCAAACCTAGCCTAAAGTCTAAATAATTTTTCAACATGGACTAGACGGGAAAAAGGTAAATAACTCATTTACATAGCAAGGGAGTAACTTGAAATTGGCTTTTTTCAGATTACAGCAGACATTACCTTAGAGTAAAAGTTAAAGAATAACTTAAGCATAAACTGACCACTTGAACTATGCATATAAAATGTAAACACAAAATCTGTATATAGTCTGGCAATTACCTGGAACATCCAGATGCTGATAAAATTGTAACTTGTAACATCATCTTAGAGGTACGTCATCCTGTAAGTTGGATATTCTATACAGCTGTGTACAATAGATTTGGTTCGGCCTGGAAAATGTATTCACATAAGCAGGTCCTCCAGTAACTGCATGCTGAATGGTAACTTTATTACTCCAGCAGCCACTAGTAGTGATAAAGTCCAAATTGGTAGAATCCATTGAAATACAACCATCAAAATTTGTTTCCCTACAGGATTGTAAACCATCAAATGGAAAAAATATCAACTGGAGTTCAGAAGCAGGCAGATGCAAGTTGCATCTTGATTGAACAGTTATCAAATTTAACTCTGATTTAGTGAAGCTTCAAAGGTGCGTCTCAATTTTGGTGACAAGTAATGTGAACGAGCAACAGAACTTTAGGCCACTTTGGAACAAATGAACAGAAAATTTTCACTTTAGGAGTTGACAAGCCGAACTCGTAGACTTCTCTACCTATCACAAGAAATAGACCTTTTGTATATTTACAATGACTATATTCTGACAAACTATCTTTCTCAGTTACCGCATAATTAAAGGTGACTTCAAGAACTACATTACGAAATTGATGAAACTGATGATTCTGAGTAAATAACAGTTATGTCAAGAGGAATGATGGTTTTCCCATTTCTACCTCTTTACCTAAATGAAGGGAAAAATTCTTTGAAATGAAAAACAAAAAACAAAAAAGAAACTTCACATTCGTGAAAACTAATAAAACCTGCATTATATCAGTTTGTGATACACTGTAATCAGGAAAAACTCTTAAAAATGCCTCTCCAAGATCTAATTTGAACCCTCAATGATACTCCTGCATGCTAAACTCTATAGAAAACCTCCCATAGAAGAACGCTAAAAACTGTTGAATTGCAAAATGCATAAGCACTTAACCTCAGGAATCCTGAAAAAGTGATTTCTGACCTTCGGTGTAATCCTCAAAGTGATAAGAGGAATCCAAATATGCTAAATTGATATATAAAAGAATTATCAGTCAACAATTCTGTAGAGTGAGCAAATGACCCTAGACACAAATGACCAAAATATAGCAAAAAAAGTAAATCTTAATATATATCAACATTACCACTTCCACAATTCCAAAATAGCAAGAGAACCAAAAATGAAAAGGAAAAGGAACAATACCAGAGGAGCGAAACCGCGCTTCAGTTCGACTGCTAAGCCATTCTCCAGTTTCTCTGATTTTCTTCTCAATCTCCCCTTCAAATTTATCGCCTCCAGTCGGCAAAATCCCATCAAACACCGTGTTCCTTTTCCTCAATTCCCTAAAGAAGCAATGTGAACAAACCAACCTTATAAATTCGAAAGCAACATTAATTACATACAAGATCCAATGTTATTCGCTCATTCCCAGTCTATAGACGAACCATTTGCCACACAGAAAAATCCATAACCAAAGGAAAAAAGAAACAAAAAAAGCATTACTACGGACTTGGGGAAAAGAAAGCGAAGCGTATGTTAAGCATGGAAACGAAGACAAACCCAGGGTCAGTGTCGCGGTAGGAGCCAGCGCCAATGGCGCGTTCTATTTGAATGATGGAAGAGTTTGGCGAATTATAGGACTGCGACTGTAAGTGCGGTGGTTGTGGTTTGTTTCTTGTTCTGAGTTTTGGTCTCTTTGCAGGTTTTGAGGTAGGAAGTCGAGGACTAGGAGTCTCTTCTGCTAGAGACGCAAAAGTTGTGGGTTTAGTTGTGGAAAAGAAGGAAATGCAAGGCATTGTGTGTCTCTCTACGGTTTGCTTTCCTCTGGTTGCTCTTCTCCCCTCTGCAAGATAAACGATTCAGTCAGTAGTCGATGACTGGGAGAGCCTACACGTGGAAAATAATATCAGAGCACAAAAATATCTATAAAGATAGATTTTATTTCCTCTTTAAAAGGAATTCCATTGCTTAAGGGCAAAAGGGTAAAATACTAATTATGTATATTTTTTTACATAAAAATAATATATATTTTATTTATTAAGTGATATGTAAATTTTAATTATAAAAATATTTTAAATAAAAATATAAAAATAATAATCTAACTTGAATTAAAAAATAAATATTCAAAAAATAATTAATAACTTATATATTTTATTTTACGAATATATAAATATCTCGTTTAAACCGAACTTATTAGTTTCACCAAATTTTTAGATCAAAATAGATTTAATATCTAACAAAAATTATGTTCAATATTTATAGAACAACTAATATAAAAATATATCCGAATTGAAAATAAATTTTGTTAACATTTTTATCCTTTTATCGCCATATTCTTGGCTATCTAGGCACAGTAAAATGCATTAAAGTTTATAAACCATTACACTTTACAATTGACAATCAAGTAAACTGCTTGAATTCTTTCATTTTGTAAAGTAGAAAATGAAAGAGAAAAAACCAATTGTACCTCGGGTGTAACTAGCATGTCAAGAACATTAATAATGTTTGTACACCCTCAGCAACTACCATCGAAAGATATAACTTTCAACCTCACATCACGGGTTAATACATTCAACTCTATAATCATTTTCAAATTATTCAAGTCATTTACTCCATGATTAGCCTCATCATGTAGGTAAAGTCCTCAGCAACCGAAGTGCTCGTCTCCACTGTGGCCTCTCTGATAGAACGATCCTCCTCAGCACTGGCACTGCTCCTGCAGCTATAATTGCCAAATGGTTCTCACTGTCCATGCTCATGTTATACAATATAGCCAAGGCAGCTTCTACAGCCCTCTCACTCCCTTGTTCGAGAAGCTTCACGAGTGCAAATATACCCCCCTCTGCGGCAACAGCATGAGTGAGATCCACCACCTCTTCGGATATTAATCTGTTGAGCTCCACTGCAGCAGCTTCCTGTGCTTCTGGCAAGAATGAGGACTTTATCTGCTCAATAAGTCTTGGAATTGTCTCATAACGAGTTACCTCTATGTTGACTGGACTCTCAGAGTTGAGGTCAGGACTGGACAGAGATCTTAGTTTAACTAGACAAGCAGCAACCCAGTCCTTGTTATGGAGCGGGATGTTCGACTTGAGAATTTTCCGGAGCAAATTAGTTAAATGAGGAAAACTTGTGGTCCGGCAAAATTGCTCAGAATCAAGCAGTTTTATTAGCAACCTTGATGCCGCAGAGATAGCAAGACCAGCTTCTTCAACTTCAAGGGCATACTTTTCCGGTTGCTGGGCTTCTATATCGGATTCCATGTCTGGAAAAAAAATGTTAAGATACATTGTAAAAGTTCACACATCACAAATAACCAGGGGTAATCAGATTTCTATTAGCAGGCCGGAGATAAAGATGAATTGTCCAAATAAAGATAAGCTCACACAGGAACTGTGGTTTAGCCACCATATATATATATGTAGAAGAACTTTAAATTTGTCAAACAATCCCCACCTACACGAAGAAAAACTAAAAACAAAATGAAGAAAAAAATTATGTTCACTGGCATGGGCAAAAATAGAAATGGCAATCCAACATATCCAAGCATGAGTAACCAAATATGTATTTTCATGTGGTTGCTTATCTATCCCTGGCTATTTTTGGCGATAGGAAATGAAACTTATTTGAAGTTGAATAGGACAAGGCCTTTTAAAGGAAAGAGAGAAATTACGCAATTGGTTCCCAATCCAACAGATCCAAGCATGAGTAACTTATTTGAAATGAAACTTATCATGTAGTTGCATATCTATCCAAGCATATGTATTTTCATGTAGTTGCTTATCTATCCCTGACTATTTTTGGCTATAGGAAATGAAACTTATTTGAAGTTGAATAGGACAAGGGTTTTTAAAGGAAAGAGAGAAATTATGCAATTGGTTCCTATACCTGTAAAGACCTTCTGTTGGAAAACAGCATCTAAACCAGATGCAACCTCCTCTGAAATGATAGCATCCATGCTTGGGTCAACAACTGACACAAACTCAAGGATGGAAGTTGCTTTTCTTTGCAGATTTGGGGAAGCAATCTTCATAATCTTGACAAGTTGAGCAAGGAATGCAGAGTCCCGCACATCTTTCCTAAACCAATAAACAGTCAACATTTTAAACTTTTAAAGAGTAAATCTGTAGAATCACCATTGCACTACTTAATCATGTGGCCAGATCACACATGAAAGATGAAATAGCATGGTGCATGCATACAAGATAAGGCCTCCCCTCAAAAGGAAGAAAACCCAATTAAAATTTGCACTTGTTGCGTTAATTTGAGAGTTCCTGTAGGGAAAAAAGTCATCTATATTCTAGCCTAAATCTGGAAATTCTTTCCCTCTGACTATAGCCAATTAGTTCCTCTTCTCTTCCAGTAAAATGGGAGCAAAAAAAGAGACAACAGCTAGGGAAGTATAAGTGTCTGACAAGACTTCAACACCTTGCATAAACACAGAGAGGAAATAAAGTCATCTATTTCGTAGGAGGAGGAGCGGGAAAGGCTAGGGGTATTTTTGCAAAATCGCACTCGTGTCTGAGTTGTCATTCTCTTTTCTGTTTTAGTAGTTAAAGCAGGGATTCTGTTTCCTAGCAGTATAAATAGGGATTAGCTAGTGGATCGAGTAAGCAAATTCATTCTCAAAAAATAATGCCAAAAACTCAGCAACTCAGAGAACTCCCAGAATTTTCTCACTTGTCTCTACTTTCACCTTCACCTCATCTATTGTCCCTCTTCTACTCTTCCTATCCATCTCCATCAAGAGTTAATGACTAAGGCTCTTGACAAAGTGGCACCAAAGATTTGAGGTTCGGAGAAAACACAAGCTATTGTGGTGCCGGTTACAGGTAGTAAAGGTAAAATTCCTGCCTTGGATCAACAGGAAATGCAGCAGATTGATGAAACAGTTAAGGAAATGGATCAACGACTCAATAACTCATGGTCTAGATGTACAAAGTCCAGTGATAGAACCAGTTTGGCTTTGAGCAAATCATGGAAATGGTGCAGGGAAATGCATGAAACTGTGAGACAAATGCTCAGGTAAGTCCTTGTGTTCCAAAGAATGATAGAGGAATTCATGCTATGCCTAAGGCTCAGGAGGCCGGGGACAGCAGTAATCCAGATCAATCATGGACATGTGTTCCTCACTTAGCACCTAAGGTCGAAATTCCCGCTTCCTACAGCAAGAATCCACAATCTTGGATTCGAAGGTGAGTTTAATTATTTCTATGTCCAAATCGTTTCAGACGATCTAAGAGTGGAGAACGCCTATTTATTTTCAGGGGATACTGCTGATTTTTGCTTTCAAGGCTGGATAACTGGTAACTAGGAACAGGAGTCGGATGTGTTTGTAGTGGAATCATGTAGATGATTTGGTGGGTCCAGTCGTCTCGATTATAGAAGAATTTAATAAGTTGGTGCAAGTAAGATCAGTGATTGATTACCAAGAGCAGTTTGAGAATCTGCGAGCTGATAATCCAACTCTTACAGAGAAGTATCTCCAGTTTTATTAGTGGTTTTAAGGCGGAGGTAAGGCCTATGATCAAAGTTTTGAAGCTTGGCGCTATTGCAGGAGCAACCATAGTGGCAATGTCCAAAATTCAATCCTTTACGGGTATGGGATAGCATACTCCTTCATTCAAGTACAGTCCAGCTACTAATTGGCTTGTCTAGAACGACAAAAGAGTCAACGGGTGTTACCTTTCAAAGGTAACCAAAACAAGGAGATAGAAGATAGAAAATTTTCTAAGTCTGTTTTAGGTGTGGTGACAAATATTTTCCAGGTCATTAATGTCAACAGAATGACAACTCACACACATAAGTGCAATTTTACAAAAATACCCTTAGCCTTTCACATGCAACATGGGACACGCACTTGTACTTTTAGAAACACGTGCAACATGGGTATATCAAAGTTACAGTCTGAGAAATATAGCACATGAGCATGTATTACTCTGGTCCCAAGTAGAACATTTAGATGAGAGATTAACTTATTCAATTTGCTTGCCTTTAAATTCTTTTGCTTTTCAAGTTATTCAATTTTCTTGCATTTCAATTTTTTTGCTTTTCAACTTATTCAATTTTCTTGCCTTTCTCTCTGCTTGCTTAATCCATAGCAACTGTTAAAATATATATATATATATATATATATTTAAATAACAACTATAGCAACTGTTGAAATGTAAGTCAAAAAATTTTGGTTTTCCTACAAGCTAGAGCTTTTGGAATAATTAGTCATCCAATTCAATTATTTCATAGCAACACCAATTACAACCCCCCCATGAAAAACAGAAATTAGACAAAGAAAAAAGTACTGACATACGAAAAGATGCTAAAAGAAGAGGATTAAAGGGTGTGGAAAGGACCTGGAAATGCCTTTTGATGTTGAAGTGGATATTTCAGTCTTATCCTCATCTAATACAATAGAATCATCACGGTTTTTCGCTGCCTCTAGCCCTCTTTTACATCCATTTACAGGTCCTTCATAAAACTGGAAAGAATTAAAATACTTGATAAGTCAATAAAAAAATGTATGTTCTTACTATATCCAGAACGAGAGGAACAACAAACCTTCGATCTCATTTCCCTAGTAGGGTCTAAGATCCGAGCAAGTATATCCAAGGTCTGCAACCATCATGAAAATTTTTATACCAAATTATCCCTCTTGTTTTGAAATATACCCGTTCAGACGTCATCTGAAAATTTTGATGGGAAAAAGAAGCTATACAAGACCTTTTCCATTACATCTTCAGATATCTCTGCACGCTTTAGGATATTAACTAGAGGATGGATGACATCTGCAGCTTCAATTATCTGGCAAACGACATGACTGCACAAGAAAGTCAAGCACAGATGACATAAATTAAGTTCAGAAATTATCTCGGCATGGGATAACCTGGAAATTACATGCATACGCATTTGTATGCATCATGCATTAACATGCACATGCACATGCACATAAACACTCGTAAATGACAGCATTACATGTATTGAATAGCTACTTCACAGAAAAATGCTGAAAAATAAGGCTCTTCAGAGATCCTTCACAGACAATGCTCTTTTACAAACTGCAGCAAATGGGAACAGCAGAAAATAGAGAGACAAGCTTGTCCCTAAATCCAGACAGTGATCTAAGAAATTATATCCATGATAAAGATTAAGCAAACAGAAGAACTAGACCACTATAAACTTCCTCCTCCCCCACTACCCCTTTCTGCTTCGATCCAACCAGAAGGCCAGATGAGACTGTTGCATCAGCATCAAAAACCACAATACTCCTATCTGGTTCAAGAATATTCATAGTTATTGATTGGAAAATTATCATCTTTCCAAGAGGAACATCATAGGAGTTCTTGTTGATAAAAAGCATTACAAAGGAACGGAAAGGAAAAATATTGGGGCTTTCCTCACTTTTCTTTTGAAGCCAAAAGACCGTCACACACTTGTGGCTGGTGATGTTGAAATAGACTTAAAAAAAAGGGGGATGGTAATACCTGATGGATAACCTCTCCAAAGCCCGTGTAACATGCAATATTACAGCATCATTACTATGGTCCAAGAGCCGAACCAAATGCTCGATAGCCCCAGCTTCTTTGAATGAAACTCGCATATGTTCATTGATAGACGC